AGAGACGCTAACCGTAGATACCTAATTCCACTAGCAGGGATTAAGAGATACTGACGTTGGATGATTTTCATTACCTATGGTCCGGATCTCTTGATACGTGCTTGGTGGTGGAATCTCAGCCCGGATGGGGAGAGGTGGATGAAGAAGACGAGAAGGGGAGACGGGGGATGGACGGGAGACGGAAGGGAGGGGGGAAAAAAAAAAGGTGTGCGCATCGGAGATGTGGTCTCTCAATGGGAGAGGAGGGTGTGTTCTTAGGCTTGATTGATTTGCTGAATCCCCAATTAGCTGGCGTTGATGTCGTCCTCCAGGATGATCCTGCTTTTCAAACAGATGGAGGGCATAGTCACACTAGGACCTTTTTCTTTAACTCATTTCTGGACTGAATTGCGGCCAGATGCATACAAGTCGGGCCGTAAATTTGGTCAGATACGTTTACGATAGTGCCAGTGTGAGTACGCCCTGAGACATCCTTCAGTTCCTTCCTTTGTGAAGGAATAGAAAAGTAAGGAAAGAACGACAACAAAAAAAGATAACTCTTGGTCTGTTTAACATGATTTGAACCTGCAATAAGGAGGATGAGACGTGAAGAGCGAGGGACGTGAATTATTAATGTATGTTCCACAAACTCTTTCATTTCTAAATGACTTAGTAGGAAGATTCAGTTGGGAGAGTGAGCGAGCGTGCAGAAGCGTCAGACAGACAGACAGACAGACAGACGGAGACGAAGAGGTGCAGGAAGAAAGAACCCTGACCTGAAGATGATGTCAGAAAAGGGAATGCGAATGGCAACTGCTCGGTGAAACTGTTGCGCCCCTCCTTTGTTCGTTTGCCGACCACTCTTAACTCAGTGACTGACCAATAGCCCTCAGCGTATGCCGTTCATCTAAGAGGGGGGGGGGAGGGGGAGAGGGGGGGCACTGTGCAATCGTCAGTCACCGTTAGACTACAGCTCCATTCGTAGCGACATTGCTCAAACCTCACCTCCACCTGAACCTGCAGACCGTAGCAAGGTCTGGCCTACTGGGTCCCCCCAGCTTCTTCAGATAAGTAGGCCGAACTGACCCGCAGTTCTTGTGTGGGGGTGGTGCCACTGTGCAGTCGTCAGTCACTGTTAGACCACGGCTACATTCGAAGCAAAATGGCCAAATCTACCCTCCACCCAGACGTGCAAACCGTCGCAAGGTCCGGCCTACTGGGTGCCCCCAGCTTCTTCAGATCGGTAGGCCGAACTGACCCATGGTGCACACCCGTGGCTCTTGTGTGCACCGGCGCGATTCCTGGTACGGCTGTGGTGCTCTAGCAGAAGTCCAGAATTCTAGCTCCAGTGCCCTAATCCTGTGTTGTAATTAAGCTGACCTTAATCAGCTTCATGGTCTCACCCAACCCTAGAAAATGCACTACCATCTTCACCCGAAAAGAACGCCTGGTCATTATCGCTGCATGTGGACCAAAAGTTGTGCCAAATACGGCTATAATGACCGGGCGTTCTACTCGGGTGAAGACGTCAGAGTTCACTGACCTGACTGAGCTACTACTACTGATCGTCCAATTCTTTTTATTTCCTTTTCCCTTGAATCCTCCAATTCTGGCTGTCACTCTCTTTTTTTTTTGTTTCATCATCTCTTCATCTCTGACTTCATCATCACTTACCTCCTTCATTTTCTCAGCTCGTCAAGTCGTTACTGATTCTTTTCGTTTTGTGCAGCTTTATTATTATTATTAGTTTTTTCCAGATGTGCTCAGGAAGTCCTTCCCCTCTCATTTTTCACCTAAATAGTTCGCCTTGCGACCGCCCTCTTTTTCCATCTTAGCACTCAGGCTTTCGACGTTCCGGATATCCTACCTACTATCCAGCGCACAACCCTCACGGACATCCATCACAGGCACCGCTAGGTAGGCAGACCCGAGCCTCGCCACACGGGGCACTTTGGACGGTAGGTGTGATGCCTACAGACCCCATGAGCGCAACATCACGCCCCCCATCCCCTGTGCTTCGCACCTAGAACATCCCTGCTCTAATGGTCACTAAGCCAAGGTCTCTAACCTACGAGAACTCTACCCTACCTACTACCCCTCCACCTAACACAACCATATTCCGTTCTGCATTCTCATATACGATCGTACTCGTCTGCCTGTATCTTGTATGTTTATATCGGTATCTATGCTGATCTAGTCTGTTGAATTCTGCATGTTTCTTGCCTGATCTTTGTATGTGGCTTATACCCTGTGCTGGGGAAACCCCCCATGGTTGAATGTTAACCACATATATATATATATCGTCACAAACAGAACTGCCCGGTAAACCGTAGGCAGAGAGAGAGAAGAGGACAACAAACGAGGGGCTGTGACAAACTGTTTCGTCGGAGTTTCACTGACTCATCAGAAGGCTGAACCCTCAACAGTCTGCAGAATCCCCTCACTGATTACACTGTATATATATATATATCCGGGGGCCCTAGCCTTTGTGTCTGTCAATCTGCATATGCCTACTGTACTCCAACTGTTCGTTACCTAGTCTGCCCTCTACTCCTGTGAGACTACCCTGCCACCTGAGCAGCAGGGTCCATAGACCCTGCAAAACGAACCCACCTCCCGCGATCAGGATAGACCACACCAATGACTCGTAAGCGAGTGCTCCCTCCCCTGGCGCTACCCCTCTTTAGACCCTGCAAAACCCAACCCCCCTCCATGATGATGCCGCATAAGTGAGTGCTCCCTCCCCTGGTGCTACCCCTCTTTAGATGCCCCTCCCCATTGGCACCCCAAGGGAGAACCAC